ATAATAATAATAATAATAATAATATTATTATTATTATTATTATTATTATTATTATTATTAATCACCATTTCAAAGAAAAAAACATAGATTTTTCTACAATTTAAAAAAGTAACAATTTTCGCCAATTAAAGACACTAAAAAAAAGTGAAAATAAGGAGCGAGGAACGGAATGGCTATTCCTTACCCACTCTGTTGTCATCCCTACTAAAAATGTATCAATTTTTCTAATATAAAAGATAATGATGGAGGAATAATGTTAGACAGCTTGTTGATCGTCATCAAGACGAATTCACATGCCTTGCAAACTAAAGAGTCAATAGTAAAATTTAACAACCCATATTAATTTTACAAAGATTCAATCAGTGATATAATAATTTATTTCAGGAGATCGTCGGAGATTGAAAAGCTTGATAAATTTGTACTTAGGTTTTGATTTTTATATTGTAGGCTGACAGGTCCCTTGGTCAGAAGCTCGCCTCTCGTCTCATTGTAAGGCCAACAATGTAAACATAATAATGAGAATACACGAAATCTTCCAGTTGCTATGAGTGGAGTACTGTATTGTTGTATTAATGTAATACAGAAACTTGTGTGGGTCCTTAACCACAATAATGCCTTGAATGTAATAAATGACAATTGTGCGTGCAAGTATTGCAGTCGCCAATCATCCTCTCTCCACCAAGTCGTCTCTGTATATTATATCTTTGAAGATTACAATCTGCTGATAAGTGTTTGTTTATACAATGAAATTTGGCTTTTCATTTCTATTATTGTTTAGAAGCTAATATCGAAATTTCCTAGCTCTATTGTCTAGTTCAAAGGCTGTCTAAAGGGATTTTGCCTTGTAGATGACTTGCCTCAAGGGATGGTTAGCACCTCAGTAGATTGAGCTTGGAAGTGTGGTGATGCCAGGATAGCGATTATCTTATAGGCTAGTTGTAATAGATGATTCGCAAGAAAGAAGAAGAAAGAAATGCCAAAAACAAAGAGTTCTCTGAAAACTTCACTCAATATTATTAATAATCAAGAATGACAATAATTAACTCACAAGCTGGGTTAAATAACTGTAAAATACAAAATTATCGTAAAATTACCAAAAATAGCAAAATCCTAACAATCACACCAAAATAAAATATGAAATAAAAGAAGTAAGTTGCTAAAAATTTGGCTCAATCATCTTCTGGAGCACTTCACACGGTCTAACTTTCGCTCCTTAAGCTTATTATATTCCCTAGCCGGAAAACGATCGCGCGTTAATATTGCCCACACAAGATCACCAACATCAAAGAGTACCTGACGACGATGACTATTTGCTTGAGCCTTGTACTTGGAATAGTCTCTTGAATGGACTGCTTCACCTGTTCATGGATACCTCGAAGATGTTCTGACATCTCATCAGCGTTATGATTGAAATGCCCCACACGTGAGAGAGGAGCTAAGTCAAGTACTCCGGATGGTTTATGACCACAGACAATCTTAAATGGGCTCAATCCTGTGGTTCTGTTCTTCGATCGATTATAGGCAAATTCTACCTGACGCAATGCCAAATCCCACTGTTTCGGTTTAGTCCCTGCTAAACTTCTCAAAAGATTTCCCAAACTCTGATTTACCACCTCTGTCTAACCATCTATTTGGGGGTGGTAGGCGCTATTAAAATTCAACTTCATCCCCAATTTTTCCCACAAGCTCCTTCAGAAATGACTCATGAATTCGGTGTCATGGTCAGAAGTGATTGATTGGGAAACACCATCTAGACGCACAATTTCTTTGAAATAAAGATGGACAATCCGAGTAGCATCCATTGTCTTCCGGCAAGCCACAAAACGAGCCATCTTTGAAAACACCTATCAACCACAACAATAATGGAATCCATCGCCCATTGTGTACGGGGTAAGCCCAATATAAAATCCATGCTCACATCAAACTAAGGAGCCTTGGGTACAAGTAATGGCATGCACAGTCCAACATTAGTAAGTGCTCCTTTACTTCTGACATATATAACACTGTTCCACATAATGTGCTATGTCACTACTCAATTTGGGCCAATAATAATCAGAAGAGACCAACGCCAATGTCTTATCTCGCCCAAAATGTCCCTCATTATGAAGTTCACTAATGATTTGCTGCCTTAGTGAACAGTCTGGAAAGCACAACTGCATCCATGAAACAAATAACCATTATGTAAAATGAAATCATGTCGGTGGTTATCAGTTATCTCCTGAATTATCTTCCCGAATGAAGGATCTACAGCATACATATTTAGAAATGCTTCAAAGCCAACAATTCTGGTGCTCATGGTGGTGAGGAGTAATGTACGACTGCTCAATGTGTCTGCTACTCGATTCAAATTCCCTGCTTGATGCCTTAGCGTAAATGTAAACTCCTGTAAGTATGCCATCCACTTTGCATGTCGTCCACTCTGCTTGTGCTGACCATTGATGTACTTCAAGGCCTCATGATCAGTAACATGGATGAACTCCCTCTGCACCAGATAATGACGCCAATGCTTCAAAGTCTGAACTATGGCATAGAACTCCAGATCATAGGTTGAATAATTTTTTTCGATCCTGATAGCTTCTCACTGAAAAATGCTATTGGACACCCTTCCTGACTCAGAACACCACCAATGCCAACTCCAGATGCATCACAGTTTACTTCAAACACTTTCTCAAAATTTGGGAGTGCCAGGACTGGGCTGTATCATCTTCTGCTTAACCAAAGCCTCTACCTCCTCAATCTACTAAAAATCATGCCCTTTAAGGCACTCTATGATAGGAGCAATCAGAGTGCTGAAATTTTTAATAAATCGACGGTAGAAGGATGACAATCCATGGAAACTTCGGACATCGTAC